ATAATAAACGCATAGTGATTGAGCTGTATGAAAAACGCACGATTTGTTATAACGAGGCAAATGGTCCGCGACAGCCGCGTGCGGCGGATCGGATTACAAAACCGTTCCTACTGCCCGTCTCCCGGCAGCTACAGCTGGTTTCCCCCAAAACATGTTTAACGGCCGAACGTACTGGCATTTTGAAGTTACAGCGGCCTATTACCCGAGGTCTTGTACTTTTTGCTAAAGTACGCAGGTATGATGTTGGTGCCACGCAAATGCTTTTCTCTGGGAACTTTTGGCGCAGACTATGATGACAAGGGTTCCATCCGAGTAACAATGCTGTCAGTGAATGGATCCCTACCTTTATCCCAATCTTAAATATATTTTTCTTAATTTTATCCTGGTTTTCTTCTTCTTATATTATACTGATTAAAGGAATTTCAAGCTCACATAAGTAACCGTTCAGGTGGTATGAAATAGTGGCTTCAAGAGCCTGACTTGCGGAGTCAGCCGATGAACACATCAATGAATGAATTCTCTTAAACGAATTCGGTAGCAGTTTATCGACTCAGGAGAAATGGTAGGACCGGGTGGCCTGGGTGAGTCCGGGATTCGGTCTACGGACAGTGCGGGTTTAATACTCACCATCACACTACTTCCACCCGATTTCTACTTTATTAGACACTATTTCGGAGTTATTCCAATAATTTATTTTTATGTAAGCTAAAAAAGGTATCGATGTAGTCAAAAAGCTCCTCATTTGCTTTGAGGGGGACATTGCCCATACGTTTTCTCTCCCTTTCTCTTTCTCATTTAAATTAATTACCACGCTGAACCTCGTTGAATTTTTCGGACATGGTAGCTCACTGAACCATAGCTATTAATCATCGAAACATAAATGAACGGCGTTCCTCAGTGCTCTGGAATGATGTTTACCAGATGGCTTTACCTTCCCATGCTCGTGCCGTTTGAATGATGAGTCTAAAAGTCATGCGACCGGCACAAAGTATTCGTTATGCGTCTATATTTGGTGGGATTAATTCCTCCGTGTGTGACATTATGAGATGTGAGAGGAAGCGACATCGTGAACCGCACGCGGTACCCGCTCCTTTCAGAGGGTTTTCCTCGTCGCATTTCGTTTGAAGTGAAATGTCGATGATTTTCGCGTAGGAGCGGTAAAGATTGACGGCGATGGTGGCGGCTGCGCTGACGATTTATATGGCCCGTTTCTTAGCCTATTCGATAGGGCTTAGAGTGGTGTATGGTTACGCCGAAGTAGCTTTTCTGTTCCTCTTTTTTTTCAGTATTTAT